TATATTCAAATAATTACATATGCTTACTTAAATCTTTTAATAACTTTTGTCTTTTAACTTTGCCAAGGCCCATGAAGTTTCAGATTTGAGAGAATCAAAAATAAATTCAAACTTGTGCGTCCAGTTTAAAATAGTTAAATATGTATGCTGTAAAAATCATTCCACCCTGGAAAAAGAACAGTTTAAACAAATCCTTAAAAGCTCCAAATTACCATGACACTCATGCCTGTGATGAGTGTATGTAAACAGACTACCATAACTGTAGGTTAAAAGCACCTCAAACATGACACCACTGGCTACAGACAGGCTGGAAAGATTTAAAACTATTAAAGGGCTTCATCATTTTAAGGGGGCAACGTACTTATTATTCCTGTTTCCAGGATGTTTATATTGTCCCTGGCGATATTTCACACATGCTGCACATCTTAAAGTAAAATGTGTTCTATTATAACATCATTTGAAAGTTTTTTTTTAAAAACATGAGATTATTGTAAATTCATTACCCGTATGCTATCTTCTCCTGTACACCTTAGACATAGCATTCTTATTTAGATCTCAAAACAGTGCAGTTATATGAAAAAGAAAGTTTTCAAACAAAGTACACCCTCACTGCTTCCATAGTGATTAAGAGGGTAATTGATTAACTTGATTAACAGATCATTCACAGGTGTGTGTGTGAACAATCAGATGTGTGTTGACACAACGCCACGGTCTTAACCAGAGAGTGAGCAAATTCACCCCAAGGTCAGACCATGCAACACTCTGGGAAACTGCAAAAAACCAAAGAGCTACATCTCAGACTCTATAGGCCTCAGTTAGGATGTTAAATGTTAAAATTCATGGCAGTAAAATTAGAAATTAGGAAGAAGAATTCGGAAGGGTTGCCAGGAGAAAGCATCTTCTCTCTAAAAAGAACATGGCAGCACAGCTTATGTTTACAAAGTTGTAACTAAAGATACAACAAGACTTCTGGACGCTAGTGTGTTCTTTTGAATAATGCTGTGTTTGGTCAAAATCAGTCACAGACTATTGGCGCAAACACATCATTCCAACCGTGAACAAGGGTGGTGGAGGAACGGTTATTTGGGTTTGTTTACAGCCACAGGACTTGGGCATCTTGCAGTCATTGAGTTGGCCATGAACTCCTTCTCATTACCAAAGTAATGTAGAGTCAATGTAGGTAGTTCTAAGAGCTACTGAATCATAGGGTGCACTTAGATTTTCACTGAACTGCATAGAGTCCTGTGAAAACTTTCTTTTTGCAAGGACGTAAATTGCTGTATACTGTTGCTGTTTCCTATTCCAAATATTAAAACTGCACTACATCCCAGCATAGGACGGAACTAAAAACACAAACTGCTGGCTAATCCTACATTATCACCAGACTTTTTTTAATTGAAAAAAAAAAAGAAGTTAATATTAGACTACATTTTAATATATGTATATATACACATCCAGGAAACAGGTTTGTCAGCCTGAAGGTATCGCTACATTAGATAAATGCAGTGGTTAAAAGTAACTTCTTGTTTTTTCTTTTTTCCTGCATCTGAATCCTGAATTTCAAATTTACTTGCATATACTAGTTAGGTAAATACACTAGGTTAGCATGCATGAGCAGAATGAAGAGTCAACACATACACTGATTGTAAATGTTCTATTCTAGAACATTTTGTACCAATTAAACAATTCAAGATACATTATAAATACAATTCTGTACATTATAATAGTGTATGTTCAAATACATTTCTATTTACAACTCCTTTTTAGGGAGAGCAGCTTTGTTCTCTTCTTTAAAGTAAGGTTCTTGGGTTTCTTTCTTTTACTTGCAATTACAGCTTGAATATTTACCTATTTCTAGTCAGTTCCACAGTTCACTGCTTTGATAAAACACACGTTTGTAGGAAACTCTTCTTCATACCTAAGCTAATTTTCTCTAAACCGATGCTGTCCATCGCCCCTTTATTCAATCCTCCATGTGAAAAACTGAGTTATTGAGTACCTTTTAACGTGTAGCATCACTCATCAGTCTGTTAGCATGTAAAATGGAGATGGACATCTGCTAAAAAGGCATTCAATCAGTCAGTCAGCAAGGCAGGATGGAATTTTGAATACTTGTGGGTTTCAAAATATACATACAGGTTCTGATCCATACAGCTATGGTTATAACTACTGAGTATTTTGGGACTTATGTGCCTCTTTTTATAGAAACAGGGCAATAAGGCATCAGTATAACCAGCCTCAGACAAAACCTAGCTGCTTTGTACATCTAGTGTTGACACACAGTTCATCGGTTGCAAATATTTCATCAGTCCATCGTGGAAGACAGTCAACAAACTCTCCAAGAATCCTTTCCAGTGCAAGCATTCGAACACCAACAGTTTCATGCTGGATGGATGGGGATTATTTCCTCCACAGTGTTACAGTACGTCAACAGCAACATTTCTAACTGCAACTAGGGTTTGCAGATTCGTCTTATGCTCAGGATATGTGGCATTACTCCTAGAGATATGGCACTAAGCTTTAATTGGACACATCGATTTGTAGCAAATACGTCCACATACGCACATTAGAAAAATAACATGTAACTCATAACAGCAGATATGGAACCGAAGTTCTTTGGTTAGCCCTGATATTTCATATTGATGTAAATATCAATGTTTATTAACAGTAGTACATTCTTAATCTTCATATCCCAGATTACTCCATTATGAGCCTAGGGGGAGCTGGGGGGGGGGGGGGGG